GCTTACATGTACATAGAATACCACACACATAAACTATTACTTTCCCACTGCATTACAAATGAGACAGTATCTCTTACGTTTCGTCTGCATGTTATCTACAGACCTTCAAAGTTTAGGACAAAACCAAGCACCTGTCTCTATCCTACAATTTGTATCTTAACAAATACAAATACCTAAATATTCCTACTTTAGTGTTATGTTATCAGAAAATATACTGAGAATTATATTTGAATATATGTCTATAATTCAAATATAACCTTACCACTCAAATTAAGAGGGGCCTAAAGTGGAGGTAGTAGCCTAGTAATTCAACAGGCTAAAACTGCATGCCTCTTAATATAATATAAATATTTATTTCAGCATTAAGACCACAAGTTTAGTCAATTTAATCCTTTTTCAGTAAGACAAGATCATCCAAACACACTAACTGTAAGGAAGGGAGTAAAAAGGGAGAAAACTGCAGAAAGCAAGCTAGGGATGGATGACGCCTGGCAATGAAAGTCGTTTTCAAAGACCATTAACTATCAACTGCTTTACTCAGGACTTTGATTAAATAAGAATATACATCCTATGTAAAAAGGGATGTCTATTTGAGTGGGACAGAGTTTGGAATAAAAATGTGTTGTATGAACTATAAAGAAGACCCAAACCACCATGTACAATTAGGTGTCTGACTCGTAATACTATATATACGCCTTTTAAATGACTAGTGAATAAATACTCAAAAAAATTGGGGGTAGGAACAAAACCATTTTCATTTAAAAATATAGATTCCAGAAACTGAGATTGGTGGCCTATATGAATAGAAAAAAAAAAATTCTTGAAGAAAATTCATATTGAGCACTCTTTTAAATGGATTCTAGCAATGTTATTATACATTTCTTATATTTTATTTATCATTTCTCTGAAAGGTGCTAGATTTTTATATTAGTAAGAAAGTTTGCTTTTACTCTGTCATATCTCTGGTGAGCAGACGCTCTGGTATTAATGTAAATCGTTGATTTAATTTTTAGCTTTCTTGGTTTGCCCCTCACCTATCTAGAAAATGATTTCTCTGGTGATAACTAACACATCATGCTAATGAGAGAATCTAATGCACAATAGAAAAATGTCACTACTAATAATATTTGCATGAAGTTAAATAAAGCAACTGTAAGAGAATGTCAGACAGTTGTTCTTTAATAAGACACAGTTTCACAATGAAATTATGTTGTTAATTTTGTTACATCATCGGGTGAATCCTAAATTACTACATAATGATGCACAGAGTCATTTATAATTCTAACTTAGTATTTCATTCAAGTATGAAAAAAGACCTTATTAAGGGATCTACATTTTATTTGAAACAGGTTAAATATACCTCGCCAATAACAAAAGGTAAATGTCTCTAGTAACACATTAAATGTGGGCTATAGCTATTTACCTGTATGGTTTCCTTTCTGAAAAGATTTTTAAATAGACTGGACTATTACATCCCTTGAGATAGCTACAAGAATTGTATTTACTATTCTCTCAAATGCATAGAATATTTATACAAATAGAAAAATTGCCTCAAGTGTGATTTAAAAAAAAAAAAAAACTTGAAAAAGCAAGCCTTATTTTTTGCTTTTAACAGTACCTTGTGAAACTAAAATAGGCAAAATAAGGTTCATTCTCCACCTGTCACTGATCAAACTGATCCAAAGAAGAACTCCCTTTACACAATGTCATACCCTTTAAGGTTCTCAAATATTCAGCCATATACATAGAAATAATTTGAGAAAATCATACTTCAATATAGAAGAAAAAATGTACAGGCACAGGAAACTGTAGTCAAATAGTCTTAACTTGAACTTTAGGGGCACATACTTAATGCCACTAAATCCAAATTGGCTTCAGACTATGATGTTTGTTACTATTAGACAGAATGAAAGATACACATTTAAGCAGATCCAACTTTGTTCATATGAAACAAAAGACAAAGATTTTTGTATCCCTACTTCCCAGTTTACTTATAGAACACATAAAACCAGATTATTAAATTTCAGTATTCATGAGACATTTCCCACAAGTTTTTCTGTAGTTAAGCACTGGTGGTAAATTATCTGTAACTCAGTTTTGAAAGCTTTTATTAGCAGCCCTACTAGTCAGACTTTTCAAATGTCTAAATAATCAGGAAAATATTAGTTTTTATACTACTAAAGAAAACTTTATAAGAAATATAACCCAATAAATTTTATTCATTTCATAAGCTAAGTAAATATTACTTAGAAATAAAATAATCATAATCTAGAGAAACCTCTTTATGATGCCTTAGAAATGAGATATACAGAATTCTACATATTTGATTAAATTGGAAAAACTTTTACCTGTAACAAAAGCTGGCTTAACTGTATATATTGAAAGTAATATTCATTGAAATGGCTGGCTTCAAGAGATATCAGAGATATAATTTCAATAAGTCTCTCTCTCTCACACACACACACGTGCTGAATCAGCATTGCTGATGAATTATAGGTAAGAAAAACAAACATTAAATATGAACAGCACACATACTTTCACTTACATAGTTTGAACTTAAGTTTATGTAATATTTATACAAACTAAAATGTCATCTTGAAGAGAAAAAACATGTAAGCTCATATCCTCTCTTACATACTTTCCAAAAATGCACAAGAGGCAAACATTTAGTGACCACGATAGAAAAACGTGAGTTGGGGGGGTAGGAGTGATTGCTAACTACATCAAAACCAAAAAATAAACATATTTAAAACTGTGATTTCTCTCCCTTTGTTGTACTACTTTATTTCATAAATAGCATAATATTATATACTTTTAATAGCATCAATTAAGCATAAATTAGTTCCCTACATTTCTATTCTCTCCATATAGTCACTGATGCTCACCATTACACATACATGCACACACAGGTACACACAAAATATCCACACAGATAGCTGGATCAAAGACATCATAAATTTTCCTAATTCTGACCCATCATTTATATTATTTACTTTTATTTATTTTTTAGCTAAAATGTTTTCCATGACAAAATCTCCTTAGATTCAAATCTACTTGGAAATGGGCTAGTGCCAAATAAGCAATCTAACACCATCTATGTGGCTCAATAGCCATTTATCAATTGATCATTATCTCTATCTGGTTTTATTAACTCTTTTCTAGCTAGAGGGAGACCTAAGCCAATCTTCCCTTCTAACACACACACACACACACACACACACACACACATGCGGCCTCCACTAACTCAAGGAAAACCCTGAAGGTGACATCTAATTTTAAAAGTGAGGCACAAGTTATTTGGTACTAAGGTTAGCGAAAACACTCTGCATTCCAGCTATGAGAAAGCCACCCAGGCAGGGATGCGTCGCGGAAAACACCTCTCATAGCACTCTGTAGTGACAAGGAGCATCTCTATGTGGAAATGAACTTTTCACTTGAAAGAATGGGAAATTGCACATGAAGAGTTACTTATTGGGTTTATGTTGATTGCATTTAAATCCCAGCTTACTGTATCAGCAGTAATCAGGGTCCCTCTACAGGATATGTCAAAATACACCTTATTCAAATGCACTTATCCCATCTAGAATTGTGTGCTAAAACTGTTCTCTAGCTAAATGCTACAAACCCCTGGTTGTAGGTATTATCTCTTGCAAATGTATTTCTAAACTTGTAGCAGTTTATAGCCTAGCAAATTTTTTTTTTATTATCAACAACTTTAAATATCTAACTGAAAGTATTTAATTTTCGTGAACTCGTACAAAGGGTTTTGTGTTTTTTTTTTTTTTAAAAAAAAGCAGTTGCAGTATTTTTTTCCTCACGAGTGGCACAATATTTCTTAACAACCACCATCAACTTAAAATCCAAGTATACTTGTCAATAGTACTTTCGTGCTATGTGGATAATATCAAACTAACTTGCTTTGTGTGGGTTTGGTGTAGGCTTTGGAAAAGCAAGACGTGTCTAGGAGGGAGGCACCAGGGAACTTCCCTCCCTCACTTGAGCACAATCCAAGATGAAAGTTTCTGGGTTGTGTCCCCTTCGCTTCCTCTCACCCTCGCTCCCCCGCGGAGCCAAGGAGCCAGCAATTGTGCAAGAGAAGCCCGGCGCACAGGGCGCGTATCACGGAGCGCATGGTACGAGCCGCCGGCTCCAGTGATTAATTATCAGTAACCGAAGGCCTCGCGCTACCACGTCGGCTTTCCCAGCAGAGCCAGCAAGCCGAACGCCTCCAGCGCGGCCGGGACGGAGGAGCGGCTCTGGGGAAGACGCCGAGGCTGCGCCCGAGTGAGTGCGCCGGCGGGCGGGCGGGCGGGCGGGAGAGCGGGCCGGAGCCGGCGAAGGGAACGCAAGGGCGGGCGCAGAGGGCTGGCTGGCGAGGAGCAGAGCAGAGGGGCCAGGAGCAGAGCGGAGGAGCGAGGAGCAAGGACCGAGCAGCACAGCCCGCCACGCACGCCGACTCCTCCAGCAACCCTCGGCGCTGGCAGCCAAGCCTGCACAGCCTCCTCTCTCTTCTCAGGTCTGAACGAAGGTGCCTCCAGCCACATGAAGTCAGTAGGGCTGTTCTGAGGGGCCCCTAGATTTTATTACTGTTTTTTAGGTTGCAGAACCTACTCCGAGAGAGCAGACACTTTGGACGAAGTGATTCATATTGATAGAAAGATACATTTGTTGGGTGGTGGCTTTTTTCATTCTTAACAGAAAACAAAGAAATAAATTAAGTCTTCCCCTGACCCAGGCTGTACTGTGAAACTTTTCAAAAACGTCTCTGCTTTCTTTTACTTCAGTATCCTTTCCCCTTTTTCTTTTAAGACGCCCTTAGGGAAACCATGAAGTAACCCTGCACATTCCAGTAACACAGTTATGACAAAACAGAGCCTAACTAGGAAGTGACCACATTTTAAAAAATATTTAGAAAGAAAAACACTAGAAACAAAAGTGCCCATAACAATTCAAGGTTTCTTTAAAAAAAAAGAAAGAAAGAAAGAAAGAAAGAAACTTACCTGTTGGGACATTCTGAATAAGAGGTTAGTATCAGCGTTTTGCCATGTCCCCATGAACCCTGGTTCAGCCGTAGTCGTTCTGGTTCCGAACTGCATGGAGTTGTCAGTACAGGAGTCTCTTAAAGTCAAGTCTCTTGCCCTCCTTGGCTCTCTGTCTCTCTGTGTCTCTCTTTCTCTCACATCCACTTCTGCCTCTTCTGACTGAAAAGTGAAGGTGGATTTTTTGAGCCTGTTGGCAGCCAGTAGCAGGAGTGTAGTGTAGTTAAGAAGCTGGCTGAACTGTGCATTTCATTTGGGAAGGGGGAGATTTGGGGGAGGGAGGGGGTCAGAGCTTCTTTCGCACCTTCTGCACAGATATCCCTATCATTTATGCATAGATTGTGACTCCCCAAGCTTGCCTTTGCTCAGTTTAACAGCTGCCTGTCAGGTGTGCAGGCAGCACTGGAGACCCAACCATCAGCTTCAAACTCTCAGCCACTGCATGTCATTGGATAGCAGAGCTAAGAGTCAACTGCACTGTTCCACTGTCAGGCACCAAATGACACCCTGCACTAACCCCTCTCCAGATATACAGATAGATACACACTTATGCACACTCCAGGCAGCACCACAATCACAGTGCACAGGGCGAGGAGAATCTAGGGCCCTTCCTCGGGAATTTTTCTCAACAATGCTTTCCGATATAACACATAATATCTGACACCAGTCTTTGCTTTAACATACACCAGTCTTTGCTTTAACATTTGTGAAAACTGTGATACGTAAATATTTTTTAATTACACTGAAGAAAGTAAAATAGTCAGCTGTAAGAGAATGTAAAGTTGGCTCAGTTATGTCTAAATGTTAGCTCCTGAAAGTCGTATCGTATGTGCTGGGCTATTTATAACCATATAGAAACTCCTAAATAACATACATAGAGATGTGACCTTATACTCTGAAGAGTAGGTAAATAAGCCTAGCAGTTTTTATAACATGGAAGATGCACAATAAACATCTGCCAAATATAAACATATACTATTTAATATCTAGTACCTGAGGCTATTAATTACTAAACTGGATGTTAAGTAATGAGAAACTGAATGGCAAAGGAAAAAAGTATACCTTTTCTTAAAGCTCAAAAGTAGAAAAAAATCCATTGTTAAAGTTCCTAGATGAAGCATCTGCAATATCCTTTCAAATCATAAGAAAAGAAAAAGATAAACAAAAAAAGCCTGTCCCATTTCAGGCAAAAAGTAGTCAATATAAAAACTCCATTTTTTATTCAATATATCTGTGGAAAATTCTATAACGTTTTCCTGCCTGATGAAATATACTCCTGATAACATGTCACATTTTTAATTAAACAAGTCTTAAAACTATTCACCTATTTATTAGATAGTGTTTGTCTGCCTTATTTATGGAAAAGCAGCACTGAACAAAACGCACTGTACATAAACAGTAACTTCAAAATGGAAAGCTAAATTCATGCCATCTCATAAAAGTAGTCAGCAGGAAAAAGCCATCCTTCCTAAACTTAAAATGTAAGGAACATTAATCTTCAACCACCTACAAATATCGAGGACAAATGTACCACTCTCCTTGCTCCTTCTTAACTCAAGAATAACAATAAACCTTACTCTCTGAAACAACAAAAGAAACAGAAAAGAGCTTCAGTGGCAGCTCTGTGTCATTAGTGGACAATGAGAAAAGATGAGAAAACGTACACTATGTTGACACAAATGTGCCTTCCCCTCTAGAACCGACATCTCCTGAAAGCTTTTCTGTTAAACTTCCCTCCAGTTCACCACCATTAAGCACAAAAAAGTCTCAAAAGAAGCAAATTCAATATCTGAGAGGAAACAAACAAGAACCCAAAGAATTGTTGCCTTAAAATATATTAAGTCCACCTGTGGTCAATAAAAATATTCTTGCTGGGGGGAGGGCAGGAAAAGCCCCTACGAGTCAATTGTCAACAGTGACTGTACCTTTACTGCTAGCTATTACCCACTTAAACTCCCTCTAAAATTTGCTAGCCTCTTGATTTCTGAAGTGGCACTCAGTGCCTCAGTCAAGCTGCCTGCTCAGCTCCTGACCTTCCCACTAATGGCTGTTATTTGTGGGAGGCTTAAGGACACTGTCAATAGCAAGCTTCCTCCTCCTTCCACTCAGGCTCTGTTGTATCACTTTGCCTGTGTGTTTTTTTGCCTGTGTGTTCTCTCTCGCCTCTCACTCGCCCTCTCCTTGTCTCTTTCTCCCCCTCCTTCACGCCCTCTTCCTCTTTTTCTAGCCCCCACCCCTTTTTTTCTATCAGTCCTGCAGTCCTCTTCTTTCCCAGGTATCCTACCCCCGACCCCACACACACACTAACAACACAAAAATCAACTGGCATGCAGCAGCAAGCACCTGCAGTAATAGACTCTTTTATTAAAACTGTTATTCTGCAAGACTTGAAATTCCCCGTGGACCGGGCCATGTCAAAGCCGATATAATTAACTAGAGGCTCAGCAACGGATCAATTACCAGACAAGCAAGTGATAGTGAAATCAATGAAAGATCATCAGCCACATTATCAGTGTTGCAACTCATTAGGGCAAAACTGAGAAATGTGCTCAAAGCGAGCCCAAGCAAGGTGGCATTACAAAACAAAGGGCTAATTTGGAGACCCTGCTGTGAACAATCTGTAACAGAATTAGCCTTTTTTCCCCCTAAACTGCACAGCTCCGTAACTAAATGTGACAGACTGAGAGAAGCAGTTTATTAAGACACCAACCCCAAGTTTATTTAGTTCATAAACTCTCTCCTAGAAAATCAATACAGTCTGTACAGGGTTATTAGGCTGACTAGCTAATACATCCAAATCTAGTCTGCCCAGCCAGCAGTCTTCTGACAAAATGCTACCCAGTATAGGCAAACTGAGCTCTTTCAGATATCAAGGACTGAGGTGGCCCTGGCTGAAACAGGTCTGCAATATAACATGTCATTGCCACAACACAAGCCTTAAAAACAGCAGGATATCTTTCTAAGGTTTAAAAAATATTTTTTTATAACAAATATACAGTAGTGCACCTGCTAAATGGATTTGCTCAAACAAAATCTTAACTACTTTGTAACACAGGTTTACAAAGAGGACAAGCTTTGTTACAAAAAGAGACAACAATTAATCCAGACTCAATAATAAATAAGATTTTAAGTTTCTCTAACACTCATTTTAACAAAAATATTTGAAAAGAACATTTGACCCCTCTATAAATCCCCAAGATACATGATCTGAACTTCCACATATAACATACTGTGTAGAATATTTGATGTTAGGGTAATTTCTATCTAACAACTGGGACACCTGTATTGTTTTACAGACACAGGTACAAAAAAATACACCTACAAGGCACAAATACGCCTTTTGAGTTTTTTCCACTGGCTACGTAGTCTGACAATTATGGAATAACTCTCTGGAATCATTTATATGAAAATTATTTAAAACTAGGAGGAAGAAGACAAGTATCACTTCCACAATAATTGCTTTTTGCTGCTGATTCTGAGTATTTCAGGTTAAAGAATCAGAAGCACTTAAATGCCATCTGTTGGCTTTCCCACATTTACTGATAGTGAGAGATGGACCATGGAAATTATGGAGTCCACCAAACTAGGTTTCACTGCATCCAAGTTCAAGACATTGTGGGAATGTGACTACCTCCCCCACATCACACCACATAAGCAAAAATATACTTACACAAAGTAAGAAACTCAAAAGCATTTTACAATGGTAAAATAGACTGGAGAACCAAAGGGAAAAAAAAACACAATGGCTCTGGAAGTGATTTCTGATGTTGACGATGTTTTAACATTTAAAATCTTCCAAGAAAAGGAATGCACTATAACATGCCTTTCATACTCTAATACACTAAATCCTAAACTTAAAAAGAAATCTTTATTTTCATATAACTATAGTAAAATTAAATTTATAGATTGCTGTAATTAAACATTTTCCCTGTAACTTTCGAGCTGACACCTTATTAAGCATTTCATAGCTCATGTTTTTGAGTAATCTGTAAAAAAGTCAGACATATATATTCTAAACCTGTGCTATAGGTGCCATGTTTTGGATAGTAATTAAAAGTTGTAATTGCAGGGAAATTTTACTTTTTAAAACCTTTTTGCATATAATTACACACTGTGCATGCACCCTCAATGAGATCCAATTAGTTACAAAAAATTTGCATTTCAGTTAGTGTGGGATAACAAGACTATAGGGAGGCACAATGCAATTCCACCAGCAGAGTAAAAAAGTGTGTTCTTTCTTGTTAGCTCTGTAAGCAATAATTCCCACAACCAACTGTTTAAAATGTTACTGATCTTTTCAGTACTTGAGTATTACGGTGGGTTTTGGGTTTTTCCCTCCATTTTCTAAAAAAAAAAAAAAAATCACATGTTGGTGTAAAAAATCAGCCACAATGAATACATGAAAACGCAAGTGAGCAAAGAATTTTGTTTTGCATGTATGTTTGTCGGGTGTTTTCTTTGAGGGGAAGGGCATATAGCATATGGTTTCTTCTTTCTACTTAATTTCTTTAAAAGCACATTGCTTTCTTAAAATAAGTTATATAACTGCAGGAAAAAAACCTCATTGAGTTCTATGTAAATATATATGATTTTATGATAAAAGCACACATTTGCTGCACTGAGAAAGTACTCTAGGATTTTTATTTTTTCTGTCTCGAACAATGTAAATCCTGTACAAATATAAAATAAATGTGTAGTTTATGTATACAATTTAACAAGCATCTCTAGAACTTCTGCTGGTTCACAGAACAATACCTGTAATTCCCTGGGTTCACTTCAGCAATTGTTAACAGATTCTATAATCTGCAGTGTGCTCTGCCTTTGCTCTTCTTTTATTCACTATTCATTTTCAAGGCTTGGTTAAGTACAGAGCTGGGTTAAAGATCAGTGGTTTTTCATGTGACACATGCTGGTATTCATCTAATGGCTTGTCAAGACAAAACTGTCCCTGTTCTTGCCAAAATAATAAAAATGACGCTCCACGTCGCATGACAATCAGCACTTCCTTATGGAGAAACAACTCAAGCTTTTGTAATTCATTTATTTTATAGAAAAAAAATGTTAAAAACTGGCTATCCAATCTTCTATGTGGAATCAGGTTGCCATTCTTAAAGAAGAGTTTTAAAATGTTTTGCCCTCTCTTAATTCTAGAGCAACATGTA